GCTGTATATTATCTTTAATATTGCATAGCAGTCTTGCCAGTGATGTAAGAACAACTTCAGAGGTAAATGGTAAAGCAAGGAATTCAGACTTGAGTTTCTTTGACTTTGACCGGGAGATTCAAATCATCGACTTAGGAGAAATTGCTCATGGAAAAACCATACACAAGATCTGTAGCAATAACTTACATTTTATTTATATTACTTTTGATTCTGAAGTTAAATGAAAATTTGGAATGTATATATTTTTATGCTTTTGTGAGCTTATTGTTTACCCCAAAAACCGGATAGAACATATTTAATTAAAATCAGCATAATTCCAATCATGGTCATTTAAAATTTTATGAACTTTCTTGTTTGATGAAACAAATGGATGCTCTTCATACCACATGTAATTTAGGTTATTTTTTAAATTATTTTTTTAGTTATGGATGGACACAATACCTTTATTTTGTTTATTTTTATTTGGAGCTGGGAGCGAAGCCAGTGTCTCCCACTTGGCTAGCACTCTACTGCTGAGCCATAGCTTCAGCACCCCTGTAATCCAGTTTTATTGGTCTGTTAGTTCAGGTTTGTTTTTTTTTTGTTTGTTTGCAGAATCCCACAGAATAATTTCCTCAAGTGGAAATAAAATAAGTCTATTGGAAAGAAATCTTCCCTCAAAGTGACTTGTTCATTCATTCTGACATGTATTTATTAAGTTCTTACTCTGTTCTCAGCACAAATTTAGTAGGACTCATTGCCTTCCTATAGAAAAATAACATGTATCCCCTGGGGTTCCTATTTGCCAAAGCTGGGGCAATATTTGCACAAAATAATTACAGAATTGAATTACTGTAGTAATTCTTGAATTCAAGAGTTCATATCAGTGGTAGCTAAGGAAGATGTGAAAGCTATTGTATATAGTATAATACCTATTGCCAATTAGTAAATGTGCAGAGGATGCTGGAGTTGTAAAAATTTATCATTTTGATTTGCACATTATAGTAAAGAATGGATAAGGCAATCTTGCCTTATTAATTATTAATGGAGAATAAATACAGGGGAAAGTTTTGATTAGAGTATGAGGTACCTATGTGAGGTAACCAGCACCCCAGCAGAACAGATTCCTGCTAGGAGGTGTGAGCCTCCTGGGGGCGGGGGAGTCAGAAATAATCAGTAAGAAATGAAGACAAAGCCGGAGATTAGATTTAAAAGGGGAGCACCTGATGGGTGTCACAGCCCTGATAGAAACTGGAACTGGACTACTGAAAAAGCCCCAATTCTTATTTAAGGGGAAGTACATCAAAGGCAGGGATAAGGTTTCTGGGTGGGAGGGATCTTGTTTCTTGGTGTATCTGGGATCTTGCAATAAACAGGTTGTTTGGTGCTCCATAGGTTACGCCCATATCCTGAGGGTTGTGTTTGATCCTAAGGCTGTGACCTGAGGCAGGGCACCAACTTGATCTGGGGTTTCAAACTGGGGAATTTCACCCAGGATTTCCCAGAAAAGCAGCTTCCCTGCTTTGTGTTCGCTCAAAACAAACTCATAATTCATATATGGGTTCCAACAGAGCATGATATTTGCATGATTTAAAAATATCTCCCCACAGATTATTGCATATAAATAATTTAGTAATAATTTTGGACAGTACTGGACCAAATAATCCAGTTGAGTGGGTGACTAAAAAACATTATTAGTAAGAAGCAGATAAACATAGTATGCCTCTATATGTGGTATCCTAAGAAAGACACGTGATTACTTTTGTGATATTCTGTCTAAACATAATCTGAAATCATTTGTGAGGAAACACCAAGCAAATCCTAAAGATTTGTATTCCAATTCTAATTTTTTAAAAAAGGGATGAGGATAGCAGCAGTGTACAAAAAGAGATTGTAGTAGTATTTCAGATTAAAGGAGGCTAAAGAGACACTAAGTGCGATACCTGACCCTGGAAAGAAAGCTGTCCTGGAAGGAGGGTAATATTACAGAGGATGTTCTTAAGTGATTTGACAAAACTGGAATGTGGAGGTAGATTAAAGTATTTTATCAGTGTTAATTTTTTTGCTATTCTGTGGTGTTATATAAAACCCTATTCTTTTTTAATATTTGTTTTTTAGTTTTAAGTAGACACGATATCTTTATTTTCCATTTGTGTGGTGCTGAGGATCGAACTCAGTGCCTCAAGCATGCTAGGCGAGTGCTCTACCACAAAGCCACAACCCCAGCCCCTAAAACCCTATTCTTAGTAAATATTCATTATAGTATGAAGAGGTGACTATTGACATATGTGAATTTTTTTTAAACATTTGGAAAAATATTAAGTGTAAATATGTGTTTATATTAATTCATGTATATATGAGGAGAAAGTATGCAAATGGTGAAGATTTAGGATAAAATGTTAACAGTGAATTTAGGTAAACTGTATTTGCTATTCTTTATATTATTCTTATTGTTGCTGCTTTTGTAGGAGCTTGGACATATGTCCAAATAAAAAGTTAAAAAGAGAAATGATTGTGTCCTATACATGGTGAGAGAGCAAAAAAGAAGCATAACCTACCTAACCAGGGGAAACAGCTTATAAAAACTGAGATGCAAACAAATGTTTTGCAGCCTTCTCAGAAACTAATTGATATATGTTTTAATCTGCCAGGTGCTAAGTGCTTGGCTCAAATATCAAATAAAAGTGGGGCCATCAAGTATGCTATGTTTTAAAAATGCTATAAGACTAAAGTTCCTTTTTAGTTCTGTTAACCAATTGAAAACATGCAGTGCAAACAACAGGCTTTAATTTTTGTGTTCTAACATAATAGTTCTCACCTTTTCCTTATGTTAGCTTATTAAATTTTTTATGACAAATATGGAAGTTATTTATGTTCTTATGTTACACCTAATACAGGGATTTGAGAATTCATCTTTGATAATCAAATTACAAAAGTACATTTTCATTATGTTAATCAGGTGAGAATGTTTATTGTTTGTAGCACAGATTGTTTGGATAGGATATAACAGTCTAATCATTAATACCACAATTTATAATAAAAACACAGAATGGAGATAATCTCATGGACAAATCTAACTGAAAGTTAAATCAGATTTCATCTTTTTAAGTTAATTTTCTGCTATACAACTGAAATTTTTGACACACCAGTAAATTTTGTATTTTTAGAAGACATACAAAGTCTTTGATAAAGATCTTAAAAAGAAGAGCTAATAATGTTCTAAGATGTCATGTTTGAAATTAAATATAGGAGGTATGATCATTTTTATGCCTTTCACACATTGGAAATAGGCTTAGATTTGGAAAGTAGTGCAGTAGAAAATAATGTCTGAGGTGATTTCTAGTGAATCTAGACGTTAGATCTGGATCTTAGGAGTCTTTATTCTGCTATCAGTGAGTTCTGCTGTACCTATTCTATTTGGTTTATTCTGTGGTCAATTAGTTTTTCTTCCTTGTTTTGAATTATAAAGAAAGTAATTTCAATACTTTAATTATGGTCATTAAGAAGAAGGTATCTTAAACTAGTATATATCTTGTTTAGATGTACAAAATTTCTTAGTAGCTATACTTCAGGTATTTTCACTTTCATTGGCTTTACCTAATAATGCTGTGTGTTTTTTTTCAGGGAAGGAAATAAAATGCCTGTAATTTTTAAAAAATTTCACCAATTCATTATTGAATGTATCATAACAATAGCATTTATTCTCTAATCTCTATACCATCATGCCCATCTAATAGATTCATTTTGCATTGAATTTAAATGAATTTTCTTAGTAAAAGCACACGGAGGGGGCTGGGGCTGGGGCTCAGTAGTAGCGCACTTGCCTGGCATGTGTGAGGCACTGGGTTCGATTCTCAGCACCCCCCAAAAAATAAATAAATAAAGGCCTATCAGCAACTAAAAGAAAAAAGCACATGGAGGGTTGGGGTTGTGGCTCAGTGGTAGAGTGCTTACCTCGCATGTGTGGGAAACTGGGTTTGATCCTCAGCTTCACATAAATAAAATAAAGGTATTGGGTCCAGGTACAACTAAAAATTTTAAAAAAGCACATGGAATTTGTATTGGCCTTTCCAAAGTGTGTAGAAAACATCCATCAAAACTATTAGAATTTGTCAGCAGGGTCCTTGGTAGTACACACTGTAATCCCAGCTAGTCACAAGGCTAAGGTAGGAGGATCACAAGTTCACAAGTTCAAGGTGAGCCTAGGCAATGTGATGAGACCCTGTCTCAATTTAAAAAGGGCCTGAGGAAGTAGCTTGGTGGTAGAATGCTCGCCTTGCTTGCCAATACCCTGGGTTAGAGCCCTAGTATTGTCAAAAAAAAAAAAAAAAAAAAGCTACTGGAAATGTTATTAAAAACAAACCCAGCTCATATTGGATCCATGTCCTTAACGTGAAAGAAGCTAATAATCTGGACCCACTGTGTTCAGATAAAATCACAGAAAGTGGCAGAGTAACCTGTTTTTTCTGGAATTTCAGTTGTATTATAATAGGCCACTTAGACTTACCTGTTAATTTAGTAGTATTGTGAACTGATTCTTTTGTAAATTGGAAAATTTAAGGGCTAGTTCGTTTTTCAGTCTCCAGTTAGTGGAAACAACCTGGCTACATGATGCATAATTTTTTTTTTTTAACTGAGGATTGAACCCAGGGCCTCACTCATGTTAGGCAAACACTCTACCCCTGAGCTTTGTTCAAACCCTTTTTATTTTATTTTCAAATAGAATCTGGATAAATTGGCCAGGCTCACCTTGAACTTAAATAGTCCTTTTGTCTCAGTCTCCTGACTAGGTAGGATTATAGGTGTGCACCTCCATTCCCAGCATTATGTATAATTTAAAAGAAGAAATCCTTTAGCAGTATTTAAATTACTGATTTTTTTCAAGATTATGCTGGTTCTAAAAGATGTTCAATATACAAATGAAAGAAAAATATTAAATTTGTTTTATAGTTGCTTTTGTAATTGTGTCTTCTCTACTTGTCCATGTTAACAATTTTTTATTAACTTCTTTTTAATAATAGACGAATCCTTAGTTCTGTGGAAAAGAGCAGACAGAAATATAAACCAGCTTCTCTCACAGTGGAGTTTATTCCTTTCTTTTATCGTAAGTAGCATTCTTAATTCCTTTTATTTTTATCTTACTCGTAATTTTATCTTACTCTTTAGTCTTACTCTTAATTCAGACCTTAATTCAGCTTTATGAATTTATAAGATGGAGTTGTTTGAGAACATGTCACTGGAGTAGTTGATTTGTTTGGCCGAGATTATTGTTTTTCATTTTAATTATTCTGTTCTTCTTTTGAGAAGAACTGATTTTTATTCTTTCTTGATGATTTGAATATTTTAATAATTATAGTATATTTTAGAACTTCAAGATATTTATTTATTTATAATTATTTTTTGCATGGTACTGGGGATGTAACCCAGGGCCTTGTACGTATGAGGCAATTGCTCTACCACTTAGCTACATCCCCCAATCCACCCCTCCCCCCAATTTTTTTAAAAAAAATTGAGACAGAGGCTTACAAAGTTGCCCAAACCAACGGTGATTATGCCACCTCTCAAGAATACAGAAAAATTCGCATAACAGTAAAAAACCACTCTGTTTCTAGGTCCCTCCTCAAATTTGTCAGAATTTAACATTTTGCCATATTTGCTTTAGTTTTCCTTTTTTTTTTTTTTTTCCTTCTGTGAAGTAAGACAGAAATAGTTCATTTTTTGCTTAATGAAGATGATTGCAGTGCTACTCTGTGTGACCACCAGTAGTGACATTGGTGTTAGCTAGGTAATGAAACTCAAGTATTCATAATGAGCCACACCCAGAACTGACCTCCTTTAGAAGATACAGGACCAGAAAGGCAGCATGCCAGTGAAATAGGATAAGGTGTTTTTATTCAGCAGCAGTCCAAGGGCCATTCTTTGGTCTTTCAAGTGAAATTATGGTGCCAAATTGATGGCTCTGGGAGCCACCCTGCTTTATAGGAAGCACAGTATCCTATAACAGCCTTTATATCCTGCATGTATAGGTTGTGCACATATTTTGTTAATTTATCCCAAGGTATTTTATGTACTTTGGGTTTGTAAATAATTTTTAATGTATTTTCCAATTGTTTGTTAAAAAATATAAATATATATGTATATATATACACATACATACATATATATATATGGTTTATTTTTGTCTAATTATATTGTGCCCTGTGACTTTGCTAAATAAATTCACCAATAAATTTATAGTAATTCTTATGTTATTTCTTAGGGTTGTATATGTATACAGTCCTGTTGTATGCAAAACAGTTTTTTTTTTTCCTTTCTAAACTATATGCCTTTTTATACTGGTGAAGTGGTAAAAGGAGACTTTTTTTCTTGTTCCTATAAGTACAGGGAAAAAAAATAATGATGTTAGCTGTTAAGTATATTAGTTATTAAGTAGGATGTTAGCTACTGAATTTTTAATTGATGCCTTTCATTAATTAGAGTAAATTTTATTTTGAATAGATGTTGACTTTTTCCAATATTTTCACTGCATCTGTTTGAGGTGATTTTTATATTTTTGAGTGTGTGTTGCCTTTCCCCCCCCCCCCCACTTCTGTCTGTTAGTTGTTGAGATTGATTTTTCAATGTTAAACTAACATTGCATTTATGTGCTAAACCACCTTTGGTCATGATTATACAGTAGTATTATCCTTTTTATGTAATACTTCATTTGACTTGCTAATGTTTTAAAGATTTTTGTTTCTACGTTCAAGCGACATGCAGATTTTTAGGGCTTTTTTCTTTGTTATATCTTGTGTAGTTTTTGTATCAAGTAATTGTCCTAGTCTGCTCTGGCTGCCATTCCAAAATATTATAGACTAAGTGACTTTAAATATCAGAAATTTATTTCCTCACAGTTCTGGAGACTCTAAAGTCAAAGGTCAACAGTCCAGCAAGATTTGATTTTTGGTGAGATCTCTTTGTGGCTTGCAGATTGTCTTCTGCTTGCTACCTTATATGTTGGAAAGAAACACTGATGTTTTTTCTTCTAACAAGGACAGTTCTCTTAGATCAAGGCTTTACCTTTACAATCTCATTTAACCTTGGGCATATCCTCAAAGGTCCTAATCAACTGAGGATAGAAGTAGGGCTTCAGCTTATAAAGCTTGGTATGTGTGTGGGGGGGCACAGTTTATATTATTCCACCTCTGATCCCCCAAACTTAGTGTTTATCATATGCAGAATACATTTATTCTACCCAATAGCCTAATGTCTTGGCCCTGAAGAGCATCTTTGCACTTTGACTGTCTATAAGGGCACCACCCACATGGCTGAGGGCAGCCCTGCCCCTAAGGTACTAGGTGGGGTCCTGCTGATCTACTAAAACCTGAGAAATGTAGGAGGAAGAAACACCATTGCCCTCTGGGTCTGAGAAGGGAGTGGCAGCTCTTATCTCTAAACTGCCTTTAGAGTTATTCTTCCTTTTCCTTGAAGAGCAGCATGTCACCACTGAATAGCTGTATAGTGTGGTCCTGTAGAATTCAAGAAGTCTTGTAGTATACCTTCATTCCTTCCCATTTTCTCTGTTTCCTTTATTTAAAAATGGTAATATCTTTGCTGGTATTCCTGGCCTCAGCTGAGATGGCTAAGGCAGTTCAGGAGTTATACCTGGACATATCAAATGATTGTTCAGTCACACTTTAGCATTTTTTTCAGTACAGGCTTTCTCAGTTTTTACAATGTGGATAGGCTGAGAATTTTTAAAATCTTTAAGTTCTTGTTCTTTTTTTGCATTTTTTTTTTCCTATTTTACAGGAAAAATCAAGCTGCTCCTCCAACTTTGCTTAGAAATCGCCTCATCTAACTATCCCATTTGTCACATGAAGTTTTTAGCTTTTATGCAACTCTATGACACAGTCTGGTGTCAACACAGTGTAGTTCAGCCAAGTTCCTTGTCACTTTAAACAAATATTGCCTTTCTCTAGATTTCAATAATTTGTTGTTTATTTTCATCTGAGACCTCACCAGAATAATTGCCCTTGTGATTCATAGTTCTAGCACCCCAGAACTCTTTTAGCCTCTACCCATTACCCATAGCTGCTTCCACATTTTTAAGTATTTGTTACAGTAACACTTCCCTTCTTGGTAGCAAAATTTGTCTTACTGTGCTCAAGTTGATATAGCAAAGCGCCACAGATGGATGTCTTAAGCAGAAATTCTGGCCTTATTAAACGACTTGAGCAGTGTTTTCTTTCCCTCTCTTTTCTGTGAGAATTGGTTTGAAATTGTTATTATGGTTTCCTTAGTATTATTTGGCAAAGCCATTTCAGCCTAGAATTTACTTTGTGAGAAGGTTTTAAATTCTGGAGTCAATTTTTATACTAAATAGGGAATTATTCAGATTTCTTCTTCTGTTAGGTTTTGAAATTCATGTCTTTAAAAATTTGTGTTTTTCATTTGTATTGTTGAATGAATTGGTATAATGTTTTTTATAACACTTTTTTATGATATTTTCAAAGTCTAGGGAATCTGGTTTGTTGCCCCCTCTTTTGTTCCTGATATCGGAAATTTATATTCTCTCTCTCAGTTTTTCTAGATCAGTCTAGCTAGAGGTTTTAAAGTTATATTCATCTTTTCACTGAAGCAGGTTTTCATTTCATTGTGATTTTTGTTTGATGATTTATTTTCTGTAATTAGCCCTACTTCTGTTATTACTTTCCTTTTACTTAAAGTTTAACTTGCTCTTCTTTTTCTGACTTCTTCCAATAGAAAATTTTATCTTTGGGCTGGGGATGTGGCTCAAGCAGTAGCGCGCTCGCCTGGCATGCGTGCGGCCCAGGTTCAATCCTCAGCACCACATACAAACAAAGATGTTGTGTCTGCCAAAAACTAAAAAAAAAATAAATATTAAAATTCAAAAAAAAAAAAAGAAAATTTGATCTTTAAACCTTTTAGTTAGACCTTCTTTTTGAATATGCACATCTTGAGGTATAAATTGTTTTGTGAAGCATTGCTTTAACTGTACCTCACAGAATTTGCTGTACTCAGTTTAATTTTCATTTAAAACACTTGCCAATTTTTTTATTGTTTTTTTTTTAAACAATAGTTATTAAGAAATTGGTTGTTGGGCTGCGGCTGGGGCTCAGTGGTGGAGTGCTCACTTGGCATGCATGAGTCACTGGGTTTGATCCTCAGCACCTCAGAAAAATAAAATAAAGGTATTATGTCCACCACCTAACTAAATGTGTATATATATTTACATATTTGTGTGTATGTGTATATATATATATACACACACACATATATATATATATGTAAATAAAAGAAATTGGTTGTTGACATCATTAGCAGTTAGCAAAATGCAATTCAAAACTACACTGAGATTTCATCTTACACCAGTTAGAATGGCAGTCATCAAAAATACAGATAATAGCCAGGCATGGTGATGCAACTCAGGAGGCTGAGGCAGGAGGATCACAAGTGCAAGGTCAGTCTCAGCAACTTAGTGAGACCCTGTCTCAAAACAAAAAATAAAAAGGACTGGGGATGTGGCTAAATGGTTAAGCACCCCTGGGTTCAATCCCCAGTACCAAAACGATAATAACAACAACAATAATAATAATAAATGCTAGAGGATGTAGAGGAAAAGGAACACTTTTATACTGTTTGTGGGACTATAAAATAGTACAACCACTATGGAAATCAGTATGGAGGTCCCTCAAAACACTAGGCATGGAACAACTAAGACCCAGCAATACTGCTCCTTTGTATTTTTTTTTTCTCCTTTGTATTTAACCTGAGGAATGAAAGTCACCATACTACAGTGATAAATGTATACCCATGTTTATAACAGCCAAACTATGGAACCGTTCAGTCTATGTGTCTATCAGCAGATGGATGAATAAAGAAAATGTAGTATATGTACACAAAGGAGTTTTATTTAGTCATAAAGAAAAATGAAATTATGTCATTTGCAGGAAAATAGATGGAATTAGAGATGATTATGTTAAGTGAAATAAGTCAAACTCAAAAGGTCAAGGATTGTATGTTTTTTCTCATATGTGGAAGCTAGAAAGGAACAAGGAAAAGAGTTGGGGATGGATCTCATGAAAATCAAAGGGAGTATAG